TCACAGAAAGGTCTGGTGACTAGACAAGCCAGGTAAGCAGCAAGCACTCACAGCCAGAAGGCAGCAGAAAAGGGAAACGAATCTTTTCCGAGAGCCACAATTTTAGCTGGTTTACCCAGCACCACATAACCAAGCCCAAGCCATGCTTCCAACATAGCTGCTAACCTGTTACTGGGAACCAGTACCTCTATTAACAGCTGGAGAGCTGCTGGATCCCAGCCACATGTTTCTTCCCACCTTCCTTGCAGCTTGTCTGCAATTTATGAGATCTAATGCCAAACATTACTTGTTCACTTTGTCAACCATACCTACCTCTGCCCAAATAGCAAGATTCTGCTGGGCCAACACGACAGACAGACTTAGCAGGATACTTCCTTTCCCCCATCCCGGGGCTCAAACTTAAGATCAGTCTGATTCCAAAAAAAAAAAGTTCACTTTGCTTTTCATAATGGCAACTTTGTTGCAACAGTCACTGTTCCAGTTATACATGAACAATCTATTATATTAGTAAATTGCCATTCATTTATTTCAAGCAGAGGATCCAGTACAAGTCTAGGTTATAGCCTATCCTTTTGTGCTACTTCACGCAGCCAAATTAATATTGAGCTTCCAGTGTGCCATGTCACAGAACATCTACAAGATACACTTCGAGCTCCTTCTCTTTACACTATTTTGTATTCTGGTACAATCAAAAGCCTAACTTTGAGCTCCTTATCTTTAAACTGTTTTGTATTCTTCTACAATCAAAAGCCTAAGCCACATCACCAACTGTACAGAATAAGGATAAAGGGACTCTAACCTGGGCATCCCTCAGTCTAGAAAAGCAAAGAGTAATGGTTGGGGGACAAGAAACACATTCTCAAAATTATTTTCTTTTACAGTTGTTTAGGATAATAGAATAATTCAGGTGAGAAGGGATTTCAGGAGTTCTCTTGTCCTGCTCAGCGTAGCATCAGCCATGAGGCCAGACCGGGTGGCTTTATCCAGTCAGCCCTTGGCAGCCTCCAGTGCAGGGGGCCACACAACCACCCTGGGCCCCTGTTCCACTGCTGAACCCTCCTCACCGAGGGGGGCAAAAGTTCAGCCCTGGGAACCACAGGCTGGTTAGCCTCACTTTGGTCTCTAGGAAAGTCATGGAGTAAGTCCTCCTGAACACATTTCTGGACACATGGAGAGGTGGTGACTAGAAACAGTCATTTAAACATATTTACCAAGGATAAATCACAGCCTGACCAACCTGAGCACCTTCTGTGTTAAAAACGGCAGGATTTGTGGACAAGGGGAGAGGAGTCGATGCCACTTACCTCAACTTCAGCAAGGCTGAAGGAAGTACCTGACAGGAACCTAATGAAATTCAACAGAGACAAAAGCAAAGTCCTGCATCTGAAGGAAGAACCCCAGGCTAAGATTGTCTGGGGGTCTGACAGACAGAAAGCAGAACACGACCCAGCAACATGTCCTGTGAGCAAAGGCAAATGGTGTCCTGGGCTATACTAACAGGAACAAAACCAGAAGATTGACGGGAAGCGATTATTTCCTTCTACACACAACTCGTTAGACAGCATCTAAATACCGTGTTTTGGTTTTCCCAGTGCAAGAACATCAAACTAGACAAGTTTGGTGAAGAGCCACCAAGACAGCGAAGGACTGGAACGCTTGCCCCATGAGAGGAGGCTCAGGGAACCAGGCTCATTCAGCCTGGAGATTAAAAGGCTTCAGGGAGGTGTAACAGCAGCCTTCCAGCTCCTATGAGAAAATTAGAGAGATGGAATTATTCGCTTCACAGTTGTGTACAGCAGGAAAACAAGAGGTAACACGCATACGCTGAAATAAGAGAGATTCTGATAGGTATGGGGCAGGGAGGAATGTTTCCCCCTCCTCCCACCATGAGGAGGGTTCAGCAGTGGAACAGGGGCCCAGGGTGGTTGTGTGGCCTCCCACACTGGAGGCTGCCAAGGGTTGACTAGATAAAGCCACCCGGTCTGGCCTCATGGCTGATGCTACGCTGAGCAGGACAAGAGAACTCCTGAGATCCCTTCTAACCCCAGTCATCTTTTGACCCTGTGAAGTATGACTGTCCTTAATAAGATTGACTCATGTTATTAAAAAGAGGCAGCCAGCAGGATAAGGGCTTTCTCACATCCACAATACAATAATTTGTGATTTTGGTTTTACTTTCTCACATTCTCCCTCAAGAAATAATAAATAACTAGAAGTGGTTTAATTCTATTTGACATGCAAAGTGAAAGTATTAGTCTTTAAAAGACCATTACATAGTAATATATTTCCCTACATATTTAGTATATAGGGAAATAAGGGTAGGGCAGACCTGTACTATAAGAGCCATTAGTTTGGGATTGATCCTGTGTTTGTACACAAAGTGAAGAGGCAGAAGGTAGTATCAGGGAACGAACAAAGGTTATCAGGTAGCAACACACCTTTTCAGATCAGAACTTCCCTTAATTGCATACTTAGCACCTCCTCCAATACAGCAATTGCCTTTCGGGTTTCTACAGTATCCAAATACAGGATGTCCAGCAACATACCTAAGGGAATATGGTATGAGCATGCACCCAAGCAGTGAAACAGATAACAGACAACATGCTGACTTGCACTAGGAGTAGCCAGGGGTGTGGGGGGTGGGGTGGAGAAAAATGATTTCAGAGGTGATCAAAACCGCATAAAGATAAATCTCCTTCTTTAAGGCTAGTCTCCAAGAACAGCAACCTTCATAAGCACTCCATAGAAAGAAATTAAAAATAAATCAATCTAAAAGTTAAATAAAGTATTATTGTCCTCCAAGGTATTTAGTGAATGAAATATGTCCAGCTCATTAGGAATGTTCTCATCCTTGGCTCTCTTTCTCTCAAAGAAAATTAAGCCTCTTGATTTCACTCCTCCACAGAGATTATACCTTCTAGGAAGAGACCATCAGCCTGAAATCTAGATTGTTCAAAGTGCAAATTCAACTAGTTTCAGCGCTTTCAGTAACAGGTATTACCCTGCCTGAGGACCCTCCAGCAATACCTGTGGTTTTATAATTCTTCTCCTGTTGTGTTTTACTCAAAGACACACTTCCCCTCCATTTCCTGCAAGGAAGGCCTGTAAAGAAGGTGAAACCAACCCTGCAGCAAGCTCAGAGGTCAGTCACACAAAAAGCACTGTCAATTCACAAACTAAAGGAAGATTCATATTGAATTCTAGTCACACGTGTTTCTTCCCTCCAAGCTTTCTCCTCCACAACTAGCACGAGGAGCACAAAATATGCTTTAAAGCATTTTAGGTGCCTCTAGTACTATATTCATTCACATCTATCTCCAGAGAATACAGAAGCTCACTCTCTACTAGGAAATGAGCTACAACTTATTTGTTACAGCTGCTCTTCTCAAAAACATTACCTGATCTCCTAATGCAGGGAAGAACAAACGTGACTGTATCCAAGGCCACCCTTGATACTAACTACCAGTGCATATGTCTTTCACCTATTTAAAAAAAAAAATAATGTATACCTCAACAACTGGCGACCAGCCATATTAAGCCAGCTTTTGATAAGCATCTACATCTGATTTAAAATTCCTGCCAGAGTAGAAAAGACAAGATGTTGAGAAGCCACAGATCTCTATTTGACAGATTAAGAGTTAACTGTGGAAAACATTACTACATTATACTCTCAGAACAGATCCAACATTTTACCAGCTTGTAGCTCCTTGCAAAGATCCTTCTTGCTTTCACTACTTTATCGTGCACCTTCTTTCATAGTTTTAATCTTTGCTCTCCCTTACTCTCCTTCCATTAAAAAGCTATGAACCTATTAACCTGTATTCTAGTACTACAGAAACTAAGTTTTTTTCTTCTTCTAACCTCAAATGCTTTCAAATTAATTGTAATTTGAGCTCTCAAAAAAATGGACAAACATTAACACGTTAACTTTTACCAACCTGATTACAGACCAAAAGAAAAAACAACAGGGGAACTGTTTTCTTATTATCCCGCGCTTTTGACAGTTTAGGTATAAAGCATTGACTGATCACTTTCCCTTACACTAAGTCAGGAGAAAATCATGCTATTATCCATTACTACGTTTGACCTTTTAAAGTCATGAGCAGGGCCTAACTAACAGAAGGAAATTCAAGAAACAAGCATGATGCTACACTGCTTTCCTGGCAGCTCTTTCATTTAACTATGCAGGCCCTCTCCTTTAAATAGCACCCAGATACTTCATGGATGGATGGATAAGCCCTAGTATTTCAACACTAGTATCAGCATCCAGAGCATCCAACACAGCACCATATTGTTCTCTTTGACTAACAAAAGTATCAACCCATTCTTCCTACAGAAGGCAAATACCAAAGGAAAGAAAAGACATTATCGCACATCCTTTCAGCGTGCAACAGTTACCATATTTTAGTGGACTAAAAAGGTAAGCTTCTAAGCACGTTCGAATTGTCTAGCTTGACAGAGACGAAAAGATGAGGCGTTGCAAACAAAAAAAGAAACCAAAAACAAAGTTACCAGCGAACACCACCACCTCTTTTGTGCTGCTCTCTCCGCTCTCGAGCAAACGCAGCCTACTCGGACAACATCCTTCAACGAGAAGATAAAAATACAGCTGGCGCAAGCCTAATCGCAGCCCCACCGCTGCGGCACCTCCACGGACCCCGTTAGACGGCCTACCGCCTCCGTTCCCTTTGTTTTGGTCACTGAAGAGCACCACTGACCCCTTACTTGCCTGCCAGCGTCCGCCTCGGAGGGAGCTTCCTCCCCCAAAGGCCTCCGGGCCCCCCCCCGCGCCGCAGCGGGGCCCCTCGCACCCCCTCCCCGACGG